TTTTTGAGCCGGGGTTTTGCTTGTCACCCAGGCTAGAGTTCAATGGTGTGATCTTGGTTCACTGCAACCTCTACCTCCGGGGTTCTTGCCTCAGTCTCCTGAGTAGCTGGGATTACAGGTGCGTGCCACCTCGCTGGGCTTATTTCGTATTTTTAGTAGAGACAGGGTTTCACTATGTTGGCCAGACTGGTCTTGAACTCTTGACCTCAGGTGATCTGCCTGCCTCAGCCTCCCAAAGTGCTGGGATTACAGGTGTTAGCCACCATGCTTGGCCCTGTTTTTTAAAATTGTGGTGAAATATAAAATTTGTTTATCATTTTAATGTTTAAGCACACAGCTCAGTGGCTTTAAGTATGTTCACACTGTTGTGCAACAATCGCCGTCCTTCAGTCCATTTTAAACACATCCACAAGGGTGGCTTGGGAACTCCCCCACATTACTTTTCTTATAAAGGAATGAATTGGCTCTCTCTTATTTTGATATAACTTCAGCAGCAGTTATGGAAACAGTGATTAAAAGTATGGGGTCTGAAAGAGGCTCGCCTGCCTGGGTTCGAATCCCATCTCAGCTGCTTACTTACTAGTTGTGTGACCTTGGGTAAGTTACTTAACTTCTCTAAACCCCAGATAAACTTCTCATTTATCTGGAAAATAAGAAGTGTTTATAGTATTTATTAATAGGACTGGAGGCAGAATTTAAATGAGAATTCATGTAAATAGATTAGTTCATAGTGAACACTTAATAAATGATAGGGAATAGGGAATTTTTTCTGTTTTTTTAATTGGGACAGGGTCTCCCTATAGTGCCCAGGCTGGTCTTGAACTCCTAGACTCAAGCAGTCTGCCTGCTTTGGCCTCCCAAAGTGTTGGGATTACAAGTGTGAGCCACCACACCGAGCCTGGAATAAGGAATTTTAACAACTGAATAGATTATTTCTAAAAATAAAAGGAAAATTTCAGAAAGGATCCAGACCTTGGGATAAATACCATAGGCTCACAGAAGGCTCATTTTCCCATAGGATATAGGGTATAATAGGCAAGAGAACTGAATGGATTCTTCAGTATTCCCCAGAAATCCTCAAGTCCATATGGGAAAAGACCTTAATGATGAAACATCTATATTCAGGAGTTAAGGGCATGAACCTTTATTTCTGAAGGTATAAAAACTTGGTCAGTAATTTTCATACTAAATGGATTACGCCATGGAGCCAATAATACCAAATAACAGTGTTATTTTCCTCATTCTTATACAACTTAAAATCAACAGAATTTTCTCAAATGTAAGTTTTCCCCTCCTACATACTTGTCTTAAATCTCTGGGGACTGTGACTGCTTGCCTGTTACTTAGCAAGCTTCATGGATGCCCAAATACATCCGCAAGTAGGGACTCAAAACCCAGGAAAATACAGAACAAGCTGACGCTTAACATCTTGTTTTCTTAACCACAAGCCATGTGTGCTTGTGGTTATGGTTTTATGTGTTTTATGGCATGAAAATGTTAAAACTCAAAACTATCTAAAAATGAAATTGCTCCTACCCTGCATATGAAATAGAGTAGATCAGTATTTCCTATAGTGTTGCTAGTGTCCCATTACCTGAATCAGTCCCTTCCAGGCCCCTGAATCTACGGTTATCGGATGTTTTCAGGAGTACTGGGCTGTTTGTTTCTAAGACAAACTGCAGTAAGCCTTTATTTAAGTATTGCATTGTGCTACTAAAAATTGCATGCAGCTTGATGTTTTCTATTTTTAAAATTAACTCTCCAAATTGATTTCAATGTCCTTAAAGAAGAAGCGTGCCAGTCCTTAAAAACAGTATCTTAAAAGCTTACCCATGATAATGTCCTCTAAATATCCAACCACAGCATCAAATTCTGCATCCGAGGCAGAGGAGCTGAAAAACATTCCTGGATTAGGTGCTATTTCATATAATGCATTAATAAAATATTTGCAGTATGGACATTTTCAAACACGTACACGAGAAAAAAGTAGCAAAACGAACTTCCCATCACCCATCTTCAGCAATTAAGAATGACTGTCTAATCCAGCAAGTCCAAACAGAAGAGAAACACTTGACACGTTTGTGACATGAACGTTCAATGTGACGACTACACTTTCATAAAACCGGGTTCTCCAGGCTCTTCGCTATCACCCCGTACCTGTCTGCGTGTATGCATGAACCTGGTGCGGGCAAAACACCTGCCAGGGGAGTCATTTTGGTCAGGAGTCCGGGAGGTGGGGGCCAGGGCGCGCGGCCCGGCCTCCGCAGCTCAACCCCGCCAGGCTTTGCTGACAGCTGAGGGTTGACGGCTGGGAATTGTGACGGAGGCGCTGATCAACGGTGACACCCGCCTCGCACTCCCATCCTACGGAGCCTGAAACCGGCGGCCTCAGTACTCTACAAAATGAAGGCCTGGAGCTGGGACAGAGCCTTGGCGGCCCCGACCCTGCCCCCCACCGCCCCTAAGGACGCCCGTATTAGAGGGTCAGGCCCTGGGCGTACGCCCGCCGCACCCTGCGGAGTTACTCACAAAGACAGCGCAAAGCTTTCTTCTTCTAAGGCGTCCATCGCCACCGCCCCGCGTATGCTCCTACCCCGCCCGCGGCCCACCCACAAGCAGGGCGCGGCGGCTGGCCGGGTTAAGGCCTAGCAGCCAAGGCCGCGGCGGCTCACTGCCCAGTCGGGTCAGCGCCTGCGCGCCAGGCCCAGCCCTGGGTACCCGGCTGCGGCCACACGCCAGCCCGGCCTCTAGGCCCTGCCGGGCGCTCTGCACCCGCCGACGACGCCGCAGGTACAGGCCTAGGTGACTGCCGGAGGGGCGCCGTGCCCCGTCTCCCGTCACTATGGTCACCGCAACGCCTTCCACCGCCTCACGGCTGGCCGACAGCCAATCACAGGCGCGCGTTACCGACGCCGGGGCGGGGCAAGACCGGGAGAGGAAGTCTGGGAAGGGAGTGCGGAGGGATGCGGGGCTTGGCGAGCACTCTGTCTGGCGACTCCGTCTCACGTCGCCCCCCATTCTACAGATGAAGGAATCGATGCCACGAGCCTCAATTTCCTCACTTGCAACTCGAGAATAAATTGCATCTCGCAGAGTGTGGAAGATTAAATAAGTAGTTTAAGATGTGTTTGAAGAGAGCTTGTAAGTTGCCAAGTCGCGGGAGAGCCAGTCCTTTATCCCTTCAGTTCCTACCCCTCGTGGAAGGAAAGCCCCCGGCAGTAACTGATTTCTTGACTAATTATACAGGACGAGAGCTGAAGAACTACTTTGAGCCACGCAATCAGGAATCAGATACCTTTCAGGAAAAGGCCTCTTCAAAACTATCGGACTTTGAAAAATGACTTGAGCTGATTTCTCTTGATTGGACAGCTAAGCTTTGTGTCTCTTTGGTTGCATGATATCTTTTGGCCAAAATGTGGTATATGACTAGAGTGGTTTAAAATATGAACTGAGGGTCAGATTGCAAGTCAGAATGGGTTAGCAGACTCTTTTTTTTTTTGGGGGGGGGACAGAGTCTTGCTCTGTCGCCCAAGCTGAAGTGCAGTGGCACAATCTCGGCTGGCTGCAACATCCACCACCCGGGTTCAAGCGATTCTTGTGCCTCAACCTCCCAAATAGCTGGGATTATAAGCACCCGCCACCATGCCTGGCTAATTTTTGTATTTTTAGTAGAGACGGGGTTTCACCATGTTGGCCAGGCTGGTCTCGAACTCCTGACCTCAGGTGATCGATCCATCCACATCGGCCTCCCAAAGTGCTGGGATTACAGGTGTAAGCCACTGTGCCTGGCCTACCAGACATCTTTGAATGGACATAAAGTAGATACCTTTTGAGATCTGTAACAAAGATGGTTACAAAGACACAGTTGGGTGTAACAGCAGTGACCAAGTGACAGAGTCTTGCTCTGTCACCCAGGCTGGAGTACAGTGGCACAATCAGCTCACTGCAACCTCTGCCTCCCGGGGTCAAGGAATTCTCCTGCCTCAGCCTCCCAAGTAGCTGGGATTTGTGCCAGTACACCCGGCTAATTTTTGTATTTTTAGTAGAGACAGGCTTTCACCATGTTGACCAGGGTTATCTCAAACTCCTGACCTGAGGTGATCCGCCAGCCTTGGCCTCCCAAAGTGCTGGGATTACAGGCGAGCCACCACACCCAATTGGGTGACATCAGTTAAGAGTTACTCTGTTTAGCACCAGGAGGAAGATAGGCATTTTAAAAGTTTGCTGAATTACTGGACTGAGTTGTTTAGTCAAGCCCTGGTCACACAGCTCACAGCAAACTCAGAAATTTCTTCATGACCTGCTTTCTCTATATAACACACATTTTGGACAAAATGAACTTGCCTACCCTTCCTAAGTCATTTATGGAGTGAAGGAGCAACACCATCTGTTCTGGTTATCTATTGCTTTTACAAACCACGTGAAAACTTAGTGATTTAAAACAACCATTTTGCTCACTAATCTGCTGTTGGCTGGGGCAGCTGGAATGGACTAGAGGAGCTTCTTCCAAGGAGTTTACTCACGTGGCTGGCAAATTAGTGTTGACTCTTGGCTGGGAGCCCAGTTGTGGATGCTGACCAAAGAACTGGCTGGGAGTTGGGGGCGGGTGGGGGGTGGAGGTGTCTCAGTTCCTCTCCATGTATAGGATTCAGGGGATTCTTGGGTTTTTCTTGCACCATGGTGCTGGGTCCAAGAGCAAGTGTTTCAAGAGACACTGAAACGGAAGCTGGCAGTCACTTAAATGCCTGGTACCGGAAACCAGCACAGTACCCTTCCACTGTGTTCCACTATCAAGCAGACACAGAGCCACCCAAATTTAAGGAGAGTAGATCTAAACCTCATTTCTTGATGCGAGGGATGACAATTTGTGGCTATCTTTTAATCCATTTCACCACCCTTGGCTCTAGGAACAAATGGTGATTAAAAGGTACCCACTCACTCAGGGATGTATTAATGTACTAAACATTTATAAATACATTGTCTCCTTTTGAAATATTTGAAACCCTATAAAAACAAAAACCAACCAGTATGAGGTGGGTATTATCTCCATTTTACAGACGGGGAAAGCAAACCTTAGCGGGTCCTGGGTCCAGTCCCACTCCAAAGGACCTGTGTTCAACCATCATGCTATACACCCCTAATCCCTGGGTTGTTAAAACATATTCCCGGAAATCATGTTTTCTCTGAATACAGAATAGCCTTTTTCCACTTGTAGAAAAATTAAAAACTGACTTGACTACACTAAATGTTTTTCCATTAATACTCATTTATTAAATCCTTTGGGGGTTGGCACCAGGCATTCTTCTGAGTGAATAAATAGCAAAAGGTAAATAATGGGCAATCTTGCAAAGAGCTGATCTTAGGTGGATGGTTTGTTTTGGTGGATACACATTCAAGATGGCTGAAACTTGTGCAAAAGTCATTTTCTGCTGGTGAAATTGCATGTTTTGTGACTGAATCATGGTTTCCTGGCACTCTGCAAATGGCAGCATGACTTTCTCCTGCTGTATGCCATTCGAAAAAGGAGGCAATTCATTAACTTTTTTTTGGCTGAAACGCTGGATTTCCCCAATGAATCACCTGACGAAATGCCATAATTTTTTTTCTCCCTGGTAACAATATATCAGTAGTAAAAGTCTAGCTTTAAATTTCTCTTAAATGCTTGCATTCAGTTCAGATTATGGATATACTATTTACTCTTCCACATAGCTTGCTAAACCCTAGTTTTTCTTTGATGTGGAGTTCCTGTCTTTTCCTTTGAGGTAACTCCAAATTTACAACTTAGCTTCCATCCCGGATGATTTAATGAATTTAATATTGAAGTCCTTTTGTTTTATGGTCTAGAAGTTAAGAATTAGAAAAGTAAACCTCCTTAGGAACAAAGTTCAAGGGTAGCTTTTTAGAGAGCTGTTGGGCTCCTACATTACTTTCCCTTGCAAATTATCTATTAATTCCATCTATTTTTCCCTATCTCCACTAAATGTACAGATTACCTTTAGTCTCAGCTGGACCACTTCCAAGTTTCTTTACTGGTCTATTTCCATTTTTTCCTTATCCTTTATCTCCACCCCACCCCACTCCTCCATTCCATTCTCCGAATAGAAACCAGAGCCATCTTTTAGAATTATTTATCAAGGCATGTCCATGCTTAAACACCTTTGCTTTCTACTGCACTTAGTATAAAATAAAAAATCCTTCACATGGCCTTCATAAGCAGTTCCCTGGCCACTCCAACACTGTAACATTACTATCCTACCTACTTGGTTCCTATTTTTCTAGTTACAGGGACCTTCCATCAGATCCCCAAACCCACTGAGACCAGTTCTTCCTCAGTATCTTTGCCTAAAATGTTGTGTTTGCCTAGCTTCCCAGTCCTAGAAGCTAGTCCTCAGTCTCTGACAGGCTACGTTCTACTTCCTCCTTTAAGTTTCACTAGTGTTACTTCCTCAGGTTTCTTCTGACATCCCACCACCATCTAAATTAGGTCCCCTCATTCTCTCTAGGACCCTATTCTTTTCCATTAAAAATTTGTTACACACAAATATATTGTCTTCTCTCCACTATTAGACATAAGCTCTACAAACAGATATTTTGTATACCACATAGGCACAGTGCCTAGCACGTATTAGGTGCTCAATAACAATGTGCTGGATGAGTAAGTGATTGGCCTTATTCTTAATTCTAATACTTGATTCTCTCCTACCCCCAAAAGTAGCCCTTAAAGTCTAAGAGTGTAATGTCTTGGAACCTTAGCAGTATACACCAATGAAAGTTGTGAAATCTTAAGTCAAAAAAGGCAACAGATGTTTTATTCTTCAATGCAAATTACTGTATTCACCACAAGCTAAAGAAGAGAACATGTATCTACATATATATTTATATTTATATATATTTTTGGAGTTATGGAAGACTAAAGACATGGAAAAAAATCCAGCACCCCAACATGTACAGCCAGGAAGGAAATCAGCTCTGGAATAGGACAGGTATAATGAACTACAAACAAGAAAGGGTGGGAAAAGAAGAAAAAAAAATGTGCGTTGAGTTTAAGACACTGTAAAACTCAGAAGACATATTTACTATTCAAGTATAAACTCTGTAAGGAATTGGCATAAATTGAAAGGCAGCTGCTGAGGTACACCATTATAAAAGAAGTTCTATGAATTTACAATTCTACCTTCCAATTTCCTGGGAGAAAAAACCAAACTCTTGAAGGTCTTCACCAGAGACCCTGAGAGGGATTAACACTTTTGATGAAGACATAGTCAATAATTCATGATTGAACTTGCTATTCAAAAACATGTATTTATTTAGAACAATAGAAATACGTGTTCTCAGACTGTCCTCTAGAGTTTTTGAGACTATTAGTTCAAGAGTTTCAAAGTATATTACTTGTAAAAACAACACTGATTAAAAAAATTTTTAAACAAAAAAACAGAAAGCTGATTTGATGGTACCTTAAAAATACCCTAAATACCAAATTTTCTCCAACCTAACATTGCAGCTAATTTAAGAATTCCTCCTGCATTGATAAAACATTTTTTCCTCATAAAATGTGAGTACTGAAACTGGATAGAAACACTATGAATGTGAAAATATCACCAATTTTCTGCAGTAAAAAAAACAAAAAAAAAAAAAAAAAAAAAAAACCTAGAATGTTCTTTGGAATCACTGAAATATCAAAAATTTGGGTTTTTTTCCTACAGTCTGTGCACCTTCTTTCAGGTTCTCTGTTTTGCTTGTAGTACTGACTGTGTAATTCTAATTTTTATAGATTCAAGTCTTGCAGTGCAATATCCATGCTTAACCCACCGGTGTC